TCTTTGCGGGCAATAAATTCGAGCAAATCCTCCTCAAACATCTCCAGGGAGGGAGGGGAGGTGGGACGGATTGTGCCTGTTTCGCATTGTCGAAACAGAAGAGCCAGTAGGGGGTACAGGGGATGTCTGCAAAGGGATGCACAAAGGAAAACAAGAGGTGCTTAAAAAATCCTTCTGTTGTTGCTCATACAAATCCGCCCTGGTGCCATGGTTAGAGTGATCGACTTGTTTACGCTCAATAACTAAACGAGCACAGGGGCCTGAATTTCAGGCCTACCCAACCTAGGGTTGCATAAGGCTACGAAGCCAGAAATGGCCTTGTGTTTTTTGGCACCGTTGCATATGTGTATCCCATCTCATCTCAAGCGACCGATCAGCTAGGCAGTGGCCTGGACCCGGCGGTGGGAGAGAGAGTGAGGTCGACCCTCAGCGCATTCCCTTCCTCACTATAAACAATCTGATGCACTCAAAACTATCAGGGTGCGCTAAAAGCCGCGGCTTGAAGGGTTGCCAACTGACGGGATAACTTGGACGCCGGAGTCAGTCAAGCGTATGTGGAGTGGCTTACTGTGGACTGAAAGTCAGGCCCAATGGCTCCTTTTAATGCTGCCTTTATGGCGCTCCCGCAAAGGCGGGACCCTACCTAGGAAAGTGGTTTTGTTGTGGGGTGTGGTTCACGCACATCGCCTGCGCCCTCCCCCATCTCTTGTCTTCTCAACTTTTGTTTTGACATCGGGTTCAGGTGTGGGAGTGGCCCGAGAGTGGAGTAGATCCGGCGAGTCTACTTTCACTGTAATTCAGTTGCAGTCACGGCGCTGCTTCAGCTTGCTGAAGCTCGTGGTGGACATCGTCGAGAGCGAAGGTCGAACTGTCGTGGACGGACGACTGGGTCCTCTGACAGATCGGTGTACGCATATCTGCTATAGTTGTGTATATATGCACACTATCCACTAGGATAGGCTCCAGAACCTATTGTGAATCAGAAGGAATCGCGAATATTTGGTAGCGAGTAGTAAAACATGCTTAATTCTAGAGCTTATGCCCTAAATATGACCTGCCTCGTGTTCCCAAAGCACGTTAATTTAATTTAGAAGAGAAACAAATGCTCGACGTAAAATGAGGGCAGAGTATTATCCAATAGGTGTACTAATATTATCCTTGGGATAATTTATTGGCCGCTGTTTTATTTTATAGTCATGGTAAGATAAAATCAAGTAACGAAAGGACTTGCAAACTTACTGGCTTGCGTTTTATTTCTCATTATCAGGAAGGTAAACTTTATAGGTCACCGAAATCATATAACGAAGGCATAATTCATTAAAACAAATAAATCATATACGTATTGTGCGTAGAGGCTACGGGGATTTAATCTATCCGAAGTTATGCCAAGACGTACAGAGGACTATTAAATTGTCTAAATATGTGTACGCACTAATTAAAATAAAGGAAGGGAGAGAGAGAGAGAGAGAGCAGAAACACATATATATGTATATATATTACAAAATCTGTAATAAAAAACAGTAGTATGATTTAAAAGCTGGAAATCGTATGCACGTTTGCCGGTTTCTTTTGGGCATTCGAAAATTTCCTGGATCTATGAAAAATCACGAATGCAGATTAATTATTTTTTAGTGCAAATTATGTGCAATTGCGAATCCAGAAACACGAATACATGGGGTATATATTGAAATTCCGATAAGTATGTCGGACACTTATTTCTGAGACCGGTACTCCAACTCTCTGACGTTTCAGCTTTTAATTCAAGATCTTTGTTTAGAATACAGTTTACTCTCAATTCGGACTATCCTTCACTCGGATTGATACTCGACAGAACTACGAATTTATTCGCACAGGGTGGTCGATTTATATACTTCTTGGTCGAATAGTAATTTGCATGCCCTCGATGCGAAGTCTAGCCAGCCGAGTGTCTGAACACTGCCTTGTGTTCGAACGCGAAGTTATGCCCCTGGAAGGTGGCCACGAGGCATTTTGCGTCTTCTCTTCTAACGGCCGCGTAGTGTTACTACATTCTCGTCCAGACTTGTTTACCGCTTTCACCAACATAATTGACAGTACAGTAAATGCATTCAAACAACACCCACAAATCGTTGCGTTAATCCTAACTGGCGGACCAACCTGGTGCATGGTCCATTAAATAAAGACCTTAAACCACGCTGATCAGGTTGCTAGATATTTAATCGTCTCCAATAGACCCGGTTCGACCTCCATTGTTGCGTGATGGAGGGGAGTTGAGAGGTTTGTGTCCGTCCAACACCCAATTTCCTCGCTTTAATGAAGCTGAAAAGTTAAATGTCGAGACTGACAAACCACAGCAGCTCACCTCTGCCCTGTGGGCCAGACCACAACGGTTTATGCTTCGAGGGACCTTTAAGGCGACTCGCGTGCTGACGTGGGACCAAGACGTGTATTGTGAGTATTGAAATGCTACCAGTCATCTCAGGCAGTATGTTCACTTTCGGCACCACCAACATCCTCGAATTTGTCTAACTGCTGCCAGGAGAGTGGAAGTTATGTGGATTTCAAGTTGCTTTCCCTATCTATCGACCATCTTCCTATCCGAACTCCCCCGTAAGTCATATTCGCGCTCTGGACAGTAGTATTGGCCACGGTAAGCTAAGGACGAACAACCATATTTGCAGACTAAATGCCGACCCACAATAAAGGGGCTTCATCTCGTCTGAAGCCTGGTATTCAATATTTTACAATTGCACTGCTGGATCAGTGAATCGCCCTTGATTGGAGTGGTTTACAGTTACCCAACCCCCTTAAAAAGGTCCTCCAGACGGTACCATTTCTGCACCTTTGTTTCAGTTGAAGTTCTCCTGTGTATTGGAGGTACAGACCTTCTGATAATCCCTGATTTGAGAAGGAGAAGAAGACGCGATCGCTGTAACAGGACATTTTATAACTGACTTTTCGGACTCCAGTTCGTACCCATCTTCTGGGTAATTCGTGCGTAAAGAGATGCAGTAGTTGGCGTATAGTATTACCGGCAAAGACAAGGGAGGGGACTGGAATGACCACAAAGAAGTAGAAAGCGTTGCGATCACCGGAATCATAAGTTTACTTGTCTGAGCCTTCGAGCTCCTTCTAGAGTCCTTCGTCAGAGATAAAAGGCGTACACGAAAAACAAGCAACATTTATAGGACGCAGACACCAATCAATATGCTGCAGAATTTCCACGAACTTCTCAACTCCATTTTCCCAGAAATACAATTCACGAGGGAAGAAGAAAGGGATAAGCAGCTACCCTTCCTTGATGTACTCGTCATGCGAACTTCCGACGGCAAGATCGAAACAACGGTCGACAGGAAGGCGACGAACACAAAACAGCTTCTCAATTTCCACAACAACCATCCAGTGCCTCACAAAAGAAGCTGCGTAAAAACACTCTTCAAGGGAATCCAGACTCATTGCAGTAATCCGGAAGAAAAGGCACGTGAGTCCCGATATCTCCGCGACCGGTTTATGCGGAATGGCTATCGGAAGGCCTTCATAAGCCGATACCTACGTGCTCGCCCTCCAAGGACCTAACCAGGACCAACCCGTACGATATAGCATGCGCTGCCATACATCAAGGATGT